CAGACAAAGATGGCAGCGCGCAGGAGGCGATTTCTGCAAAGGTCTATACATACCATGGTCATAGCAAGTTACAATCATAACGATCACAGAGCGTCAGTGGCTTTAAGACAAGAGTTCATGCCAAACTATTAAGTCGTTGCGAAATGTTTTGCCCTTGCACCGCACATGCGCGATCTTTCAACAGAAATAAATTATTCGAGTTGCTCTTCCCAGGGGTTCATATTCAAGCATAATAGTGCTACGGCAACTTTATACCCGGATGCGAACAAGGTGTTTTGTTCGGTGCCAGTTACGTGAGTGCGGCTGGCCTTCGTGGGCAGTTAACTTAGACAAATAGCATCAGTTTCTCTTTCCTCGCTCAAGCCTAGACGTGGATGACGCCAGACAACCTTTTTAGAGATCGTATACGCATACAATGAAACAGTTCACATTTTCCGCTTCGAATGCTGCTGGATAAAAGTTAGCTCTCTGAGAGGAGATACGCCCGAATGACATCGAACATTTCTAAAAAACGAGCTTGCGCTTGTCACCGTAAGGTGGGGTTCTTATCCATTTCGGTACTAAAATAACATGCCAGACGGGGTGTTACGGACAACGAAGTGACTTTAGTTGTATAACGAAACACATATGATTGCAAGCCTTACAATCTAACGCTCTCCTGTATATTCAGCAAGCGGTAATTTACCATGACAAAACAGTAATCATGAAGGTCGTCCGTGGTAACATGCATGTCTTTTCCCTATATACTTCAAACTGTAGTAGTTGCGACCGTGTTTGTCCACAGGTTAGATAATATGTTAGGAAAACGGCATGCACTACACTTTCGTTACTTTTTTATCTTGAGGAAAAAAGTAAACCACGTGGTTAACTTTGCCATAGTTCTGAATACCTACGCTTGAAGTCACCAGTAAGCCGCCGCTGACCATCGCAGAATGTTCTGTAAAAAAAGCTAAATATCTTGAGCCGCAAGTGGAAAGGAGGATAATCGTTAGAGATAAAGGATAAGGACTATTTAAACGAAATAGACATTTAGAGTTGTGACAATTGCCGCATTGTTCACGGGCTGTGATGGCAATTTACGTCTTCTCAAGAAGCTATTAATGAAAATAAATCCTTGCATGTTTTTAAGTAAAATATGTACATATATGAATGAGTGAAGAGGAATGCTGGTAGCAAAAAGAAAAACATCAGATTATTTAAGGTGTTTTCCTTCTAACGACATATTTCGTGTCAACGCACTATATCCGTGAACGTTTATGATGACTTTCAGAACAAAGATTTTAAATATTTCCTTTCTAACTACGGGAAATAGGATTAGAACAAGAACTACCCTGAGCAACCTTCAGGGGTCTGCAAACTAAGATAAAGGAATTCACCTACAGAAGGGTTTGGATTTGGGCTAGTTGGTTGAACATGTTTAGGGGTTAAAAGCGCTAAAAACGACGGACGAGTAGGAGAGACACACACCACAGAGCGCTACTCGCGACTGTTTTAATGTTGGAAAACACACACGTACCGCAAAAACCAAGACACACTTCCAATTCAGTTCCAACCGCCGTTTAGCGGCGGTTGGAACTGAATCGGAAGTGTGTCTTGTTGGTTTTGGCGGTACATGTGTTTTTGCGGCGGTTGGAACTGAATCGGAAGTATGTCTTGTTGGTTTTGGCGGTACGTGTGTTTTTCCAACATTAAATCAGTTGCAAGTAGCGCTCTGTGGTGTGTGTCTCTCCTACTCGTCCGTCGTTTTTAGCGCTTTTAACCCCTAAACGAATTCACCTGCAGACGTGGTGTAAAGACGGTGCATTTTCTTCAAATATTGTGGCTTCTCTGTCTCCCGATGCTGCTACAGATGAACATATCTGAAGCATGGTTCAGTGCGAGCCTAAATGTGTTTTGTACACGATAGTTGAAAAGCGCAACGCAGTCTGATTATTACTCGCTTCAAAGGTACGAACAGTGCGTTACTCCTTATTTTTAAACAAAAATAATCATAACATTTGCTTGGTTAGAAACGAAGTGTCGCGTTTCAGGTAAGTGACATTAATGGTAAGCAATTCCGTAAATTGCTTATTAGTAAGTAGGCATACATTTTCGAATTTTGTCTGGCATTTATTGGCAATACATAATATAGTTCCTCAAATGCCCCCAACCTTAGTTGCGCCAAATTCTCTCTTGTGATCGTTCCTCGTAGTTTCCTTTAAACTAAAAGAAAAGTTTAGTTTTTTTTGTTATGTTTTTTGTTAGTTGCTTATATTCCACCTGTTGTGTCTAAATATCTTTAGGTATTGAAGTTAGCTCTAACTTATAAGCAAATGGAATATAATATCGTTGGAATCTTTCTCCGAGCAACTAGACGCTAGGCGGCTGGCTAGGAAGAGCTTTTTGCGCTAGTGGAAAGTGGTTGGCGCTATGTGGTCAGAAAAATGGTTTAACTAGCATATAAGCACATGCAAATCTTCTAGTGGATGAAACTGAACATTCGATTACATTTTCGATGAATTTAATGTGTAATTTTTGCGTCGCTTCACCGAAATTCCTGAAATATGTGGAAGAATGGTTGTCGTGAATGAAGCACAGTAGCTTTAAAAATCAGTAGAAACATAACAGCTCCGCGGAATTGCAGGCAAAGTATATTTTGATTCAAATGAAAGTGATGGAATAGGGGATACGTCTTTGTTTTATGAAGTGTGAACGATCTGCCCAAGGTGCGCACATTGGCTGATATTTATTATCCTATTAACACGTTACCAATATTTACCAACGGCCGCTTTCAGAGCTAAGACAAGCTCCTGTTTTCAGGTAGTGAGGCTTCTTCCTCCATTTCTGACTGGATAAAAATTTTTCTACTGCAAATAATACGGCACGGGTGATGAGAACAAGGAGAACAGTGATATTACTAGTACTGCAACTATGAAATTAAAAAAAATGACAAGCGGGAATGGGACAAGTGCTACAAATAATTCTGAATGAGGACTTTGGCGAACGAATTTTAGTAGTTATGACAATGCAAAGCGGACACAATAATTCCCCTTAATATTTACCAACGGCCGTCGCAACCCGCACATGTTTGTGGAGTGTTTTTGTTAATTGTTAAAAAGTAAAAATGAATACATTTCTGAGAACACAATGTTTCTTATCGATCTATATTCAGCCACCCCACTTCTTTAATCCAAAGGCATATTATAGTCTGTCCACCTTCAACTTTAACAGCAACGAAGGCTAGAAGCGCAAGAAAGTGGCTTAGGCAGGTGCACCAGCTGAGGATGCCTTCATGCAACTGATTTCCTCCCTCAAGCATGTGGCAGGCCTTCGTTGATTTCGTAATAATTCACGTGAATGGGACGCATGCCTTCGGGTCGATAAAAGCGCTCTTGACGTAAAAGTTCACTGTGTGATTTCAAAACCCACTGAGTAATCAATAATCAAACGCGATGAGAGAACATCGGTAGGGGCAGGTGAATAAGACACACAACAGAGATGCAGAATACAAAGGGCTAACGAACGTCCTTCCACAATCGTAGCAGGCGTGACATCACTCTATAGGATCCTCACCGCCACCAAGAAAATACAGGCCCGTTAGTTAAGTACGCAAAAAAGGAAACAGATAAAGCTCAAGCACGCTGTTGTTTTGTGAAAGGTATCGAAACAATTATCAATAAAATACAGTGAAGTGCCAGTCTGTACCTTCCGTAGAAAGCACTTATTAAAAAGTGAGATACCGACGTGTCTAGTCAGCCAAATTTAGAAGCATGTAAATCGTTCGCTCATCGGCACACACACCAAAGAGATGCGTCGTTGAATAATATACAAGTCAAATGTTGTTGAGCTGAAGTCAGTTGTAGTTCTGTGTCGAGTCCTTGTACCAGGAGAAACAGCGTTGTCCAGAAGTTCAGAACTCACACAACGACGGGCTCAGAGAAAGAAAGGGGAGGACACACACCGTACAATAAATTCACGGTTAACAAACTTTCTTTGGCGATGCCTGCCCGAAGCTGAGAAATACTACGCCACACACGGGGACTGAGGTAGGAATTCCTAAACCAGTGTAGCATCGCGATGGCCATGGCGGATAATTATCTCTTGGTCGTCCACCTATTCGTAATTGCCCTATATTGTACAACTGAAGCAATCACCTCAGCCACTGAGTTCCACGACGTGTCTATCAGTTTGTGGTGTTCTACAAAACTCTTGATAAGGTTTAAATTACTGGATATTTAGTGAGCCCGCATTGAAATTGAAACTGAAATTAAAAGACGCCAAAAAAAGTTCGATATCGTAGAGTTCTCCATTATCGTATCAATTGCGTCGAACCGTTGACGTTGCAAATATGTAAATTACATACTCGTACCCACATGATGACATTATAAAAATGTGAGAGGATAAATAAAGCTAGTCAGAAAAGAACATCAATCGTGAGTGAATCATTTGGACATTTCCAGGAATATTTTCTATCATCGATCAAAAAAATAAATATCACTTCAAAGTGAAATACCAAGCGCATTTCTAGGGAGTACCCCGACTAGTAATAGTTTAAACAGAACTTTAAAACATTTTATGAGGACTGGAATTTCGCCCTGCAGATAAACGTCGCGACTTACAGTTTTCTAGATTGAGTTGATGTTGCCGATGGGGAACTTAAGGCAGTCATGGAAGTTGCTTTATACTAGCATTCCATCCTTTATGTTGTAACTAAAAATCTGTGTTCCTATGCTCAAAAGCTGTGGTCGCATGCCATCTAACACCTCATACACTTTCCAGAACGTTCATGTATGTCTCTCCAAAATATTATCTGTACTTCCTTTCCTGTTCTAGCACATCTTCTTTATTAGAATTCACATTTTACTAATGCAGCTGCTGCAATTCCTCCAGTAGGCTAACCTCTGCCGGGTATTTCACGGAGTGGTGAAAGGGTGGCCTTATGCGCCAGACGTCGAAGCGTGTTGCGTGCGCGCCTCCGGCAGCATCCACGGCCCTCTCGCGCGGGTTCGCGGCCTCGGTGGCTATCGCTTGACACCGAAAGGCGGCTGCCTACCGCAGAGCAGCTTGCGAAATGCGTTCCTGAAGTCGGGGCTGAAGATGGTGTAGATGATAGGGTTGAGCATGGAGTTCACATAGCCGAGCCACAGGAAGACGCTGAACGCGTAACCGCCGGACGAACACGACGTGCAGAGAGTCATGAGCAGCACATTGACAAAGAAGGGCATCCAGCAGATGACGAACACGCCCGTGATGATGGCAAGCGTCTTGGCCGCCTTGCGCTCCCTCTTCGACTCGAGCGACTCCCGGGTCGTGAACTGCCTGCGGTCTTTGCCGCCCTGCTGTGCGGGCGGTGGCCGCAGCGGTGCCCCGTCGTTGTTTCGCGAGATGTCAGACTCCTGCGTGGTGGTCCCGCCGCTACACGAGTTCGGGCTGTGGTTGTTGCCGGCCACGATTACGGAGATTTCCACGTTTGACGACGGACTCTTGGCCATGATCTGAGGCACCTTGCTGCCGGGCTTGTGCCGGATGCGTCGTCTGGCCACCTGGTAGATGCGCCAGTAGAGGAGCAGGATCAGAATGAGAGGCACGTAAAATGTGGAGCAAGTGGCGAAGATCTGGTAGCCGACGTCTTGGCTCACCAGGCATATACGGTTTACCTGGACGCGGTGCTGGAAGTCCGGGTCCTTCCATCCGAACACCGGGGCCACAGACACAGCCAGCGCGACAGCCCAGACGAGGAGGATCATGAAGCCGACCTGGCGGGCGTTTCGCTGGCGCACGTAGTCAACTTGGGCCACAGTCCGGTAGCGGTCCATCGCGATGGCCAGCAGGTGTAGGATGGACGCGGTACAGCAGAGCACGTCGCAGCATGTCCAGACGTCGCACAGTGCCGGACCCAGTGCCCACTCCTGGCTCACTTCGGCCACGGCCGCCAGGGGCATCACTAGGCACGCCACCATAAGGTCCGCTACTCCTAGAGACAGCACCAGGTAGTTGCCCACGCTGCGCAGATTCCGCTCCATAAAGATGGCCACGATGACGAACACGTTTCCGACAACCGTGGCCACGATGATGAGTCCTAGCACGCAGGATACCAGGACCACCACGACAAGTCTCAGCTCCCGTGGCAGCAACGCTGGGGACCGCGTGTCGAGCTGCGGATCTTCAGAGACGGTGTTGTATGAGGCGTTGTACCCCACAAACGACAAGTTGCCCACGTCACCAGTGACGGTGCTTTCGAACATGTTGCGCAAGTGTGAGCTCTGGTTTGCCTCAATTTCTGTCCAGTTGACCCCTCCCGATGCAGGGCTCGTGGGATCTGCGATACGGAACAGTATGGTCCCGACCTTCCAGACAGCTTCGGGCAGGTTCGCCGGTGTTTGGTTCATTGCTGCCACCGCCTCCCTCGTGGCCACATTCAGAAGCGCTGGCTGTTCCTGTGGGCAGCTTGATCTTGAATGGCCATACTGCTCTCTCCTGCGATACAAATATACGATAACAAACGTAAGTAAAGGGCAGTATGTATCCGCGAAGGGTGAAATATACCAAGCGTATGCAAGCTGTGTCGATCATTGAAAAACGTTGTTTCTTAAGTTTTTTTTATGTATAGCTGACGTGTTTAGTGTATAATTTGCGCACTTATCAATCGCAGGATAATGTTAGTTATACATTAAAAAAAAAAGGGGAGTTCATCTTTTTATTTATTCATAAGACTTGAGATTATCTATTAGGGGTTGAATTTTATCGAGGCTTCGTAACATGTTTTTACTTTTTATCATGTGGCTAATGGCGTTAGGAGGTGCCATCACACTTTCGGCGCAATAGTAGTTCGCAAGACTGTATATTGCCGAAGTTATCAGGAGCGTATACTTAATAAAAATATTAACTCTGTCTAAAGCAGAACAAATGTCCTTCGTTCCTCTTTAAGCAATTAAATTGTTATGATCTTCTTTTGGTTGGCGACCGACGTTTTACTAAGTGTTTTAACTTCTGCAGGGTCTCTGAATTGCCACTTTCTTTTTGCCCGTTCCGTGATTACGTCAGTCATAATGTAGATCATTTCTTGACTCACGAATCGATGAAGATAACCACTACAATTTGATTACGTAACACTTCCCGTCTTCCCCGAAGATTGCCTTGTTAACGCGTCATCGGGATGCAATTTGCGCTATATTTTTAGCCAACATCTCTTTTGTTTTTATGTGCTTGCTTAGTGCGTGTGCACACCAAGCAAGCACTTCGCTCGTCTTCCGGCAGTCAAAAATGACCGCTATCAAAGCCCTTCTCCACTTGACTGATTAGGTTACTAAATGTTATTTTGTTAATTCTCAGGTCAATAAAGACATAATTTCTTTATTTGCGCTCGTGCCTTCGAATACCGAAGTGGGCATGGCTTTCTGTATTGGTGCAATGTTTCGAAATGATTCTCGGGCTGGTCTCAACCATGTAGATAGTTGTAGAGCCCACACATTGCGGTTAAAAGTAACATTTGCACAGCGAAGTCGACCCGAAAAATAAGATGTTGCTGGTCTGGAATATGTTTTTTACTATTTTTGTAAATGTAATGCAATGTTAGTATTTCAAACACCCTGCATTTTTTGGGGGGCTCCAATGGCAACCAGAGGCGTACACTTCAAGTTTGAAGAAAGTACTTAGTAGGAGTATAGGTTTCTAAGTGTGTTTTGTTTTACAGTGTAAAAGTCTGCTTAGCAGTACATTCTTATGGGTATAAAACCACCTTCATTTGGGAGATAATTTATGAACACACCATCGATTGTTACAGATAAAAGACTCGACATTTACAAAAAAAATATTTTTTAAAGAATAACAACAAAATAAAGGTTTCAAAAACTCTTATTAACCGAACTTACAAATTCTTGCCTTTCGCAAACATTATTACGAAGTAATGCACAATTTTCAAAGCGAGAATTGTAATAACTCTGCAGCCAGTCAATGATTGGTGAGGTCACTGGTTCGTCCTATTGCTAAACTTTACCATTAGAAAGTGCATATTTCGCCAACAATCAGGGGCCAGCAACACACGCTCCCCACAAACTACAGGCAGAACCCGCCGTACGTATATTTTTCGCCCCACGTATATATATAACTATCGACTTCAAGGCCAACACGCATGCCACTAAGGACCTAGATCTCATACTCGACAGCTCTCTGAAATCAGCGTGGGATGCCCATCGGAACTTGCTCCTCCGAACAAGCCAATGCACTCCGCACAACCCACCAGGGTCATTACGATACAGCTCGAGGTTTTCAAAATATGGGTCATAGACGAGTTACCCGCTATACTACGTTCACCTCTAAGCTGACAGTGCTGTGGAAGTTACATGCCCGTTGGACCTCCAACACGTCTATCTCTTCCCACGTGATTACGCACCCGCCCATAACCACGCGCAGGGGAACGGAGTCAGGAAATGAAAGAGAGACGCTTGACTGGCCGGGCGAGCGCGTAGCTCCCAATGAACTGTCAACTGAGGGTGGAACGAAGTATAGTTGTCTGACTCACAAACTGGCCGTGCCTCGGGGCGACAGAGGGACGATGGCTTCTCGTTTTGCTGCTTGCTGAAAGCGAGATATTTGCGGGCGCTTGATACTGTTACCATAATGCCACTGGAACACGAGCGAGTCGTCTCATCCATCTAATTTCTTGGACCCGACTGTGGAATGAAAAAATGGGCCGCGAGCATGGTATATTTGGGAGTTGCAGATTTTGTTACGTAAAAAACAAAGCGATTTAGATTTTTTTATTTAGTTTAGAGATAACGGACTGAGTCAATGTTTGAATGGCGATACTTGTGTTTTTTGTTTTTTGCTTTGGTTTATGCACTTGAAAAAATTCGCTTTCCATCGGAGTGCGTGTGAGCGTGACTGCGTGCTAGGCAGCGGAAATAATTGCTGGAATGATGAGTTAGCTAGTTATTATTTACACCGCCTGTCGTCCTTCAAGAGCAGGTTGGCATAGTGATAAGAAATCTTGAGTGAAGTGACGTTGTTACGGTCATCTAATATAGATTTATTTCTAAACTTATAACCGCTTCTGTGTTCCTGTCAACTATCTTAGCAGACTGAACTCGTCTTCTAACTTAAAGGCCATACGATGTGATAAATTTAACAATAGTGGGGAAGGACGCAAGTTACCGCTCGCGAGTGCGTGGAGCACGATTGAAAGCATCGCGTGCTTATATCAAGGCATAAGAAAAACGCAAAATGGTCCACTGATGTGTTGCCTTATCTGCAGACGAGCTTCAAAAAGCAGGCAGATTATAAACCAAAAAAAGGCGAAGAAGTTAGTTTACCTTAATACTCTTTCTAGACTACAGGCACCGCATTAAATAAGATGAGGAGGTTATAGCCATTGATTGGCCATGATTGACTGGTAGCGCTTCACAAGCGGTGGAAGCACATACGGTCTCGCTGCAGGCGGTAGCAGGACATACGCCCCACAGGCACCTAAACTGTCCCTTAAGATGGCGCATAAACATTTTTAAAACTGCGGAAAAAATATGTAGTTATTCTTTCTGCAACGTGACAATTTTAAATGTTTTCTGTAGCAGATGGTGATTGTAGAAACAAACTTCCGCGGGTCGTCTATTTGTGTTGTTTACATCAGTGATGAGGAAACATATAGCAGACATAAATATATAGATTGTAGCGGTGTCGCGGGGTTATTGTGCCGGTGTAACGGCGTTGCGCCGCAATCATGAAAAGTGCGGTCCTTCACTCACAAGCTCGGGCCGCGTAGTGCGAGAGACGCGAGCCAGGCGGAGTTCGGCACCTGGCCAGTGAGTCAACGGCACGGTCGAGCACAATTAAATCTTTTTTTTTTCTCGATATATGCCTCGTTGGTTCTTCTTCCGGGTAAGCAGTGGCACCAAACCTTTCAATATATATATATATATGTTAGAGCCTCGACATGGGAAACGGAGATCAGTGAAGGTTTAAAAGGGAGCGTTTAACACACGTCTGGCGGGTACGCCTGCCACGCAAAAAGAACGGTACACCACGCGGGTGGTGGCACGAGCTTGGGGTCAGTCGTCTTTTCTTGCGAGAGCGCTAACACTCGGCCATCCTGAAATTCAAGTGTCCTCACTTGATGTTCTTCAATGTCAACATCGAATGTGTTGAGTCGTTTCAGTTTGTCGACGGGAGCTGTTCGACGTGTAGAAACGTTGCGTCCGCTTGTGGCCAGGTATATCCTCACTGCGGTCGGTCTCATTAGAAAGTCGCATCGATTTTCTGCTGCAAGAGCGACTACTTCTTGTTCTTTTTCTTCTTTATTGAGCCTCCGCCGTTTCTCACGGAAAGTTTGTTTTCGTAGCCGCCGTCGTTGTTTAGGTACTGTTGATTCGTACTGTGGTGAGGCCGTTTCCTTGGTTGTCTTCTTGCCGACATGTTTTCGCTGTGCACCCGTTTGCGGCTGCCCTTGCCTCCTTTCTGTTTGTTTGATGGTGCTCGCCCATTTCCTTCTGTCTGTCTACTCTGATATTGAGACTCGTGAGGGTCGTCGTAAAAAATGATGTAGGCCGTACCTGGATTGCCCCTTTTCCTCATGTGGCATTGGTGACCAAAGTGGCCTTGGCCTGCGCAGTTGTAGCAGTAGCGTTCCTTAATTGGCCCCGTCTTGAAAGGCGCTCGCACGATAGGACCGTCCTTTGTTGTAAGGTGGTATCTCCTCCACGGTTCAGGGCAAAGCTGAGGTCCTGTTCTCACATCTTCCGCTTTGATCGGTTCCAGAAGACCCGTCGTCCTTCGCTTAATGGCGGTTTCAGACATTTCTGAGCACCACGAGCCTCTGGCTGCTACATCGCTTTTCGAAATATTGACGTTGGAATTGGATACGTTGAAAGTAGGCAAAACCGTATCGCCAGCTTCTGTGACGTTGATTACACAAGCAGGCAGACACTGTTCCTTGCCTTCTTCCATCAGCAACTGTGCGTCAACAAAGACGTGTCCTGCCGCGGACTCCTTAGACGTCAGATGAACGATCCCCACGTAGTTCGGTGGAATCACGACAGACTCCATGGCGCATGACAATAGGGAGCGAGGTGGAAAATCAGGGACTTGAATGTATTGGAGCTGTTCATCATCATCAGTAGAGCTACCTTGTTCCTCGAAAATGCGAAGCGTGTTCCTTCTTCGCACGATGGTAACATGCGGTTGCTCTGTAAACGGTTGCCCAACAAGAAGAGGAATCGCTTGTGCTTCACTGGGAACAATGTAGACTGGAACGCGGGCTATCGCCTGGTCTACGGTGACACTTGCTTCCGTGATTCTGCACGGTAGGACCTGACCAAAACCGCAGCCTCCAATCTTACACCCTCAGGACGGCTGGTTGATGCCCAGATTATCGGCATCCAGCTTGCGCAGCGTAACGCACTGGCTTCCAATGTCAAAATAAGCTCAGACAAGCTTCCCGACTACGAGTGCGTCTTGAAAATACTTTTCGTTTTGCGCATGTACTTGCTCTTTGTTTTCGATGTGATGATTTTCTACGGACACACTTCCCATGCCGCTTGATGCGCAGTCAGCTGTTTTATGTCCTGTTCGGCGACATATGCTACAGTGTTCTCGCTTCTTTGGTTTACAGCCGTTTAAAGACATATGTCCGTATTCGTCACAGTTGAAACATCGCGGTTCGCCATTAGAGTTGAATGGCGGTTTTCGTTTCGGCGGTCTGTGGACATTTCGGTCGCTGGGTGAACTGTTTTTTCCTGCCCTTGAACCGGTTGCCGAATCGGATCGGTGGGACGCTTCCCCGGCGGCGGTGAGTCGGTCGTCCAAACGTTTGAGGCACTCCAGCAGATCCTCTGGAGTAGAAAACTTGACAACCCTCAGGCTCCGAACGTGCGCTTCGTCACTGATGCCTGTAATGACATAGTCCACTATCTGATCTTCCGGAAGTTGACAAGGACGCGCCAGGCTGGGTTTCTCATGAAAATACTGTTGAATGGTTTCGTTCAGGAGTTTTCGCTTCGCTTCCATTTCCTGGTGTCGGCGTAGTAGGTTTACGACCGGCGGAAACGACGTTTTCAGTTCCAGCTTCCATTCAAGCCACGAACGCTGGACACTAACGAGGCGTCGTACCACGTTTTGGCGATTCCTTCTAGCTTCGTTTGCGCAAAACACGACGTCTGTATCTCGGTCAACGAGTATATCGCCGATAGTTCAACATTTCGTATCCAATATCCAACTGTCTGCACCGGATTCATGACGGGGTTGAACACTGGTACCAGCTTACCGGACTCCGCAGGTGGTCTTGGGTCGTGCGTGTGCTGGGTTGCGGGACGAAGGAGGTCAGCCATGCTTGCGATTGCTCCTCGCACGGCGGCTTGACAGCCTCTTGTACAATAGTCTGAAGCCCAGACAGGTCACCTGTCGGTCCATACAACCCAGTCTGGGTTGTTGGCGAAACGCTTGCTGGGCCTGCCAGCGGTATTGGTTGCCCCACGGTGTCGGTGTCAAAGCGTTCCGAATCTTGACCTGCCACGCCATCTTGGCTCGTGGTAGCGTCGTCGCTACCGCCAAGGCTCGTGCTCCTTGTTCCCGTCACAACGCTTCCTGGAAGTCGGGGAGGGCTTACCGCCGCAGTCTGCCGTATTCGGTTCCGCTCGCTCCGCCGCCGCCCTTCCTCGTCCATGTCGAGGTGCTGGTCGGTGCCACTGCTGTGACGATTTCTGGCCACAGGAGTCGACTTGCGCTCGGTCATGGTCGCTGGATCAGGCTTGGTCCATTCCACTTCTGATATGTTAGAGCCTCGACATGAGAAACGAGGACCAGTGAAGGTTTAGAAGGTAGCATTTAATACATGTCTGGCGGGTGCGCTTGCCCAGCAAAAAGAACGGTGCGCCGCGCGGGTGGTGGCGCGAGCTTGGGGTCAGTCGTCTTTTTTTTTCGAGAGCGCTAACATATATATATATATATATATATATATATATATATATATATATATATATATATATATATATATATATATATATATATATATATATATATATATATAGTGCGTTTCACGAAAGGTGGACAAATTAGATATTGCGAAAACTACGCGTCGCAACAAAAAAAGGCTGGTGCGGTTTTGGTGCTGGGCCAGGGGCATATTTAGTAAAATTATTAAAGTC